AGAGAGAGAGGGAAGAGAGAGAGAGAGAGAGAGAGAGAGAGAGAGAGAGAGAGAGCAGTCCAGAGATCAATGTCAGTTGGATGTATTTTTCAGTTACTATCCCTATTATTTTTGGAAGCACAGTCTCTCACTGAACCTGGACCTCGTCCATTGGGCTGGCTGGCTGGAGATCACTAGGGAGCGCTTATCCTTGCCTTCTCAGTGTTGAGATTACAGATGCACTTTGCCATTCTTGCCTGGATTTCTATGTATGTTCTGGGGATCCAAATACTGGTCTGGCAAGCACTTTACTCACAGGGTCATCCTCCAAGCTCCCCTAAATCACATTTGAATTACGAAATGTAAGTCCCCGAATCTGATTGTTAACTTGGGAATATAACTTAATGGTAGATAGAGTAGTTACCTAAAACGCGTAAGGCCCTGCATTCAGTCCCCGATCCTGAAACAAACAGTGCAGAATCTGGTGGATAATTTCCACCAAAAACTTGGTTTGGAATAACAATAAATATGGATCAATTTGTGGGGAAATATTCTGTCATTTAACAAAATAATTATTATTATCTATTGTCATTATCATTATTAACTTTATGTGTATGTGTGTGTGTCTGAGTGAGAATGTTTTCAGGAGCCAGATGAAAGGATGGGATCCCATGAACTGGAGTTCCAGGAGGGTGGGAGCCACACAACTTCGCTGCTGGGAAACCTAGTTGGTCCTCTCAAAAGCAGCAAGTGCTCTTGACCAGAACCACCTTTCCAGTCTCCATCTCTTTATTTAATGGACTTTGTTTTCCTCAGCAATGCTTCCTTGCTTTAGCTTAAACCTTTTACATCTTTTCTTACATGTATCTAGGTATCTTAGACTGTTATTCTATGCTAATGTGGCATATCTGGAAATGATAAATGCCTAACTTGGCTAAAAGAACTTAGGAAAAGTAGAACAAAGCTGGAATACGTTAATTGCATGTGGTGGTGCATACCTTAACCCCAGAACCCAGAACCCAGGAGGCAGAGGCAGGTGGATCTCTGTGAGTTCGAGGCCAGCCTGGTCAACAGAGCAAATTCTAGGCCAGCCAGTGCTACACAGTGAGAAGCTGTCTAAAACCAAGGGAAAGAAAAAAAGATTATTTTGCTTCAAAATTTATTAAGCTATAGTATTTTTGTTAAGCTGGGGTAACACTGGACATCAATGGAATACAACCCAGAGTCGGGAATGACACGCCCACACAGAACCACGTCCGTGATGACCATGCAGAAGGGAGTCAGTGGAGAATTCATTCAACAAATGGTGTGGGAACAACAAACAGCCATTTTTCAAGAAATGGGCTGTGATCTAAGCCTGCACCATAACCAACATTCAATTGAAAAATGTATCCTAAACCTAAATGTAAAGCCTCAAACTGTCAACCATAAAAGTAGGAGAAAAATTTATGTGAGCTTTGCTTTGGTGAAGATCTCTTAGATGGAAATCAAGAGCACAATCCATGAAAGCCTAAATAAATAAATAAATAAATAAATAGGGCTTCATCAAAACAAAACAATATTTTCAAATGATAGTATTAAAAGAATGAAAAGGGCTGGAGATGCAGCTCACTGGTCCAACACCTGCCGAGCATCACAAGGCCCCGAGTTCCATCTCCCACCCTAACAGAAGGAAAGAAAAGAATTGCACACTGGGAGAAATATTGCCAAATTAAGTATCTGATAAAGGAACTGTATTCAGAATATAAAAATATTCTCCAGACTCAGAAATAAGAAAACACCTCATTATCAACCAACCAGTGAGCCCAAACAACGCTTCATGAAAGAACTCGTCAGAACGTCAAACACCTTCGGCTGCTGAGAAGTTCTGGACGGCTGTGAAAAAGTCCACCTCCATTGCTCAAGAGTGTTGACAATGGACTAACCGTGCTTGGAAACTGTTGGGTGCTTCCTGTTCTCTTCCCTTTTGTGGGGCTGGGAATCGTAACCATAGTTTTGTGTGCACCCGGCGAGTGTTCTGCCTTTGAGTTCTACCCTTAGCGCTGGCGTTTTTTCAAAAGGTGTCTCTCACATCATTTAGGAAAAGTAGTCGTTATTTTCATACACGTATTTGTAATGAATATTTACTGCAGTCTTATTTGTGGTAGTTAACACTGGAAACAAACAAAGTAGGTAACAATAGATTAACGGAAGAATACAGCTGGTCCTTCTATGCCATTGTTACGGGGCGTCCTCCGATGAGACAGCAATGCCCGTGGGTTGGCAAAGGGCATGGAGCTAAACCACTCTGGAGACGGTTTCCGAGAAGAGTGTCTGATTTGTTGCACGTGAGTAACCACTTACACAGTGGAAGCCTATGTCCTATGATTGGTTAGCACATTAGCTCAGACTGGGTAGTGAGAACTCCTCTCATTAGAGTCTCTGTGCGGAAGAAACACATTAGAGGCAATAGGACGAGTCTAGGCTCTCTATGGGCCAGCAACCAACTGCGCAGTCTACTTCAAAATGCAGTGTTCTGACTTCAGGAGCAAGGTGTGCCATACTTCTTCTTTAGAAGCACCTTATGTCAAGTAGGGTGGCCACCGGGTGATGCCCGCATTTTCTCTTACATTTCTACACAATGGAACTCTTTCTGAAAGAAAGAGGAATAGACTGTTGATCCAAGCACCTATGTGACTGAATCTCACAATAGTTACGCTGAATAAAAGAAGACATAAAAAAGAACACATACTGCCAGCTTTTGACTACACCAAATTTTTAAAAATACAAACAGGCATTTAGTAACAGAAACCCCATCAGCTGTTGCCAAAGGCTATGTCGGGGAGCCATGAAGGGCAGAAGTATCCCTGGATATTTTTATATTCTGCATATTAACGTTTGAGAGTCTGCATATATTCATTGCCTTGACTGGGTTGGTGGCATTGCTGGAATTTACAAATATGTAAATATTTCAAATTACAGACTTTATGTATGGTTTATTGTTTTCAGTATCACTGTTAACAGGGGGCCTTGCAGCTTCGTTCTGTTGCTGTGTTAAAAGACTGCAACCAAAAGCAGCTTGGGGGAAGGAAAGGGTTTATTTGGCTCACACCTTCAAATTCCAGTCCATCACTGAAAGAATCCAGGGGAGGCACTCAGGCAGAAACCGAAGCAGAAACTGGAGAACACCTCTTACCGACTGCCTCCTTGGCTCATGCTTGGTCAGGCTTCTGACACAGCACAGGCCCACCCACCTAGAGAGGGTGCCCTCCAGAGGAGACTGGAACCTCCCACATCAACCAGCCAGCAAGACAACACCTCCCAGGACAATCTGATAAGGCAATCTCCAGGTAACTCTAACTTTAACTAATTTAACTAATCGTGCTACAAATGGCACCCAAATGTTTGGGAAGAATTTTCACTTAAAGTCTGAGAAACTTTTTTTTTTTTTAAGGACTCTAGACTGACAAAAACAAAATCAAGTGCAGCTTCTCAGTAACCGTCTTTTCTCCCGTAGACTATGTCAACGTGACGACACTAACAAGCACAAAGAGTGTGCTATTTTCATTGATATTTTTCACAAATCAACCCAAACTGAACCGATCCACAGAACCAAATACGTACGCTGTTAGGCAGAAGGACTGTTTCCTTATTCACTGCCCTGTATGATTTATGTGGTCAGTTCATAACTCATTTGCTCCAAGGGCTGCATGTGAGTCCCAGTTAGCAGCGCTGAGGATTCAGTGGGACAGGAGCTTCATTTGTTTTACAACTTCCTGTGAAACAGGATCTCAGATAGTGTTGGTTGGCCTGGAACTCCCGGTGTGGCTGAGAATGACCTTGAACTCCTGACCCTCCTGCTTCCACTTACCAAGTACTGAGATTAAAGGGCTGAGCCACCATGTCCAGCACATTTAATTTTTTTCAGCGCTTTCATGTTCTGGGCTAAGTACTCTAACATGGGCAAATGTCATTTACAACTTCATGAGTTAGATAATATATAAGTAAGATAATATCCTTACTTACAAAGAGATGGGCTGCAATATAGAAATTACTTAAAGGTATAAAATAAAACACTTAAAATCATATAAAACTAGCGTCTACTTTTTTTTGCATAAAATTTTGCCTTGGAGCCATGTTAAAGAATGATAGTTAAGAATAACGATTCGGTAGTCAGAACTCAAACCTGAGCCATTTACAAATATGAATTTAATTTGTGTTTTCTCATTGTTGTGGATAAGAAAAGCTGAGTAAGGTAGAATTTGACATCTGCCTTTTGATACAAGGTCTTGGCATTGCAAAAACAAGCTACAACAAAGCGGTTTGTTCATGATGATAATGAGGCTGTCTTTACACAGCACTATTAGCCTTATGTTTTACGAAACGAGGCTGTTTAATAACAGGTTATAGATTTATGCATTACATCACAAGCCCCCAAGGCTAGTGCTGTGTCTGAAAAGTTGTACTAAATGCTCTTAGCAAGTTCACATGTTTATGTACTCAATCAACGCCTAAGGCATCTTTCTTAATTAATCCACGGTAATGAAAATAGTTTACATAGCTAAAGCCAGACAGTTGTTTACTAGGGTTGTTAATGGAGGATGGAGCCCATACCTGAAGCCATGAATTACCACAAAACATAGTGACCCAGTGCGGCTATATTTTAATTACTTGTTCAAAATGTCTTTCTTCCTCTAAAGCGTGGACTAATTATTAAGCCACATTCACACGCGTTTGTGGATTGCCTGTCGTGTTTACCTATAGCCTAAAAGCTGAAACAGAGTCTTTGCTCTTATTGAGCAAAACAGGCAGCTTTTCAGGTGATCAAAAACCAAATCTGGAAAATAATCCTGAACGCTGGTGTAAGTCAAAGATCACTGCTCGTCATCTTCACTGCCAACAGCGTGGAAAGAGCTGAGAGAATTTCCGGCATGGAAATCCACCTCAGTTAACTCGCTGGTGGGCGGAGCCTTGCGACGCCCACCGAGTGCGCACGCGCTATCGGGAGGCCGGCTGTGACCCTGAGAGCTTGCCGTCGCGTCGTGCGCACGTAGGACGTCGCGTATGCGCAGACGCTTGGCGCAGAGACCTGGCGGAAGCCAAGATGGCGCGGAACAGGTCTGCGGGCCGCGCTTGGTCCTTTCTCTGCGTCTGAGCCGAGTTCTTTGGAAGGGACTGTGGCAGACGCCCTGCGTGCCGCGATGGCTCGGCATCGGAACGTCCGAGGATATAACTACGATGAAGGTGGGTGGCAGGGCCGCGCTGGGCCGTCGTCTCAGCTGTTCCAGCTGGGATCCTGGCCTGTACGTCCGCCTGGATGGGAGTGCGGACCCCGGAGCCACACTAGAACTGGTGTTTGTGGTGAAGAGAGGAGAAGGAGGGGGAAAGGGTAGGACATCAGAGTCCCAGGGAAGGAAGACAGCATGATTGCTGCCTTCTGGATTGACCCCCTGGAGAATGTGGCAGCTCACGGGCCTACGGATGTTTGGCGACGTTGGGATTCGATGCTCTTTGGTATCCAAACGTTACCCTTTTTCTCTTTGTTTCATTTGGGGACCCAGGTATCAGTTTCTAACTTCTGCCTCATAAGCTCTCCTTCAGACATGCCGCCGAGGCGTTACTTATTTTTAAACCCAGGCTGGCTTAGTGCTTACGTTCAGCCGACCTGCTAAAACTTTTTTTTTTTTAATTTTTGCCAGTGTTCGTGTGTTTTGACTGCAGAATTCTCGCTTGACCCGAATTTTCAGCGAATTTCAAAATTGGGAACGTAAGAAACAGAAAAGATTCACGTTTAAAAGGCTCAAGAAATTAAGTCGATTTGCTGATCTTCAAGCATATACTCAGTTAATGACCGATAATACTTAAATGTATTTTAAAATGGAAATGAAAAGCAACACTAGAGGGGAAGTCCTAGAAAAGGACTCATTGGGGTTTTTTTTTAATTAAAAAAAATCTATTCTCAAGGAGATAAGTTCAAAGTGCTTTTAGGAAGACTATATGCCCTGCAATAAATGGATAATAATAGGTACCACCAAGCATCACAGAAGCGGAAAATAAAGACAGTGTGAGCTAATGCAAAAGGAGTGAGACCTACAGCTTTGTAAACTGGAGAACGTGCATTGTTGAAGTCGGTTGTTATTGACACCCCTGGGAGATTGTGAGCATCGTTGTGTTCGGATAGGGTCTGACAGCTAACACCCTGTGCTGCCTTTGGAGACTGTGCTGCCAGTCTGCCTGGAATGTCTTCCTTTGCTGACATCCACTGTCTTGTAGCGGATGTATAAAATGCCTTGAGGCCTCGGCAACTGAGAAATGACTTTAGACTGGGAGAGATTTTGTAGATATGAAGCGAAGGACACTCTTCTCTTTAGTACCTTATTTCCTCGTTCAGAGATAACTGAGTACTGGGTACTGCTAAAGATGTTAAGGGCTGTCTAAAAGGAGCAGCTGGTTATGTTGCTGGAGCCATGTAAAAGACAGCGTCCAAATCAGAGAGGATCAGGATTTTTGTGCGAAGTATTTGACAAGAGTTGTGTGTTCTCTGAGGCTCAGTGCTGAATACTTTCTTGTCTTGGCTACCGAGGTCAGGTTATATTTCTTTGTAACAGTTGGTGACATCACCTTGTCTTGGCTACCTGAGGTCAGGTTATACTTCTTTGTAACAGTTGGTGACATCATAACCACGCCTGTCCTGTCCTGTCATGGAATGTTTCTCCCTCCCTGCTTACAAAAGTGTGATTTGTTTTCAATGTCTAGTTGTCTTCTCCCCAGTTAGGCTTCCCTTTGGACTTTGAATAATTAAAAATTCATAAAAAGTATTTTAATTTCCTTAGTCTGAGGTCTAAAACCTATTGGTTCCTCTTTGTAACACCTGCTTCTTTTTTTCTGTGTCCTTTGGAGTATTTTTCATGACTCTCCTCAGCTAGTGTTTTTTCTTGTTTTGAGACAGTTTCATGTAGCCCGTGTTGGACTTGAATCCATTATCTAGCCAAGGGCGATGAACTCCTAATCCTCCTGCCTCTGATTCTGTTTCCCAGTTGATAGATGACAGCCATGGACTTTCAGACCTGGCTTATGTAGTACTGCCAGGTGGAACTTAGGACTTTGTGCATAATGGGCAAACAACTATTCTGCATGTGCAGCCCGGCTTATTTAAAAACCCGGCTTAATCTTATGTGTAGTCCAGTGGCTGGTGCAATACTGTGTGTATAGTAAACCAAACCAACATTTTGTTTAAGAAATAAATGAACCGCTTTAGGAAGATGGCAAGAAGAATTTTCTCCTTATTTTTAATATTGTAGCTCTTTAGGTCACCTGAACTAGTCAAAGTGATTTGTTATATCAAAAGATATATTTTGGGGGGGTTGTGAATAACATTTTTAAATTTGGGATTAAAGTCTGGTTTTTTTTTTTTGAACCTCACATATTTTTATCCAATACTAGCAGTCATACAAATTTTAATTGCCATGATTTTTGGTCTTAGCCTTTAAGCATGCTGCTCCTGCTGCCTGAGTGGCTAGAAAGCTGGCTACTCTCTCCTGTGGAACTGAGTTGAATGTTCTATCCTGGAGAAGTTCACATGTGTATTCCCATCACTTTATCTCTCATGTTGAGCACTCATACAGTTTTGTAATCACGCTTTTCTGGGCTGCTAGACTTTTGGCATTGACAGAGCTGGAAATGTGCACACTTTGTACTGAAAATGTCTCTTTAAGAGTCTCAGGTATAAATTTATGTTCCTTCACGGTTTTAAATAATTTGACTCATTAACTTGTGAACACATTAATTTAGTGTCCCACGTATGCCAGGAACTTGACTAAACTAAGTTTTTCCTGGAAGGAACTATAATTTATGCATTGAAGCATGTGTTGTACTTTGAAGACAAGACATTAGAGGTGGTTGCTGAAGGTAAAGGTGGCAGCTGGAGCCTTACTAGAGAGCATGCTCTGCCAAGGCTGACTTGCTCCACTTACATACTCCACTTGAAGACTCAGGGTCACGAAAGTTAGGCTTCCTGGTTTTCACGGAGAGTGACTTAGGTTGGATTGTACCCTACACTCCCTTTCAGCGGGTGGCTTACCTTAGGTTTTGTGACCAATTAGACAATTCATGTATAAATCTACTGGATTATTACTGAGTTTTGATCACATGGTAGATGTGGGAGAATTAAATAAAGCCCAGTCAGCTTAAAAAACAGAAGGCCTATGTATGTTTTTAAAGAATAAATTGTCAGTAATTTAGGTTAAGTGGATGTCTGCTTTGTGGGTAGAATTCTTGGAATTTATGGAAAAGTAGACATTTAGGTTCCTTGGCAGTTGCTGTTTTAATTTATTTGTAGATAATTCAGGTGTTTTCTCATTAATATAGAAGACTGAACTTGTCAATGAATCTGTTTTGTATTTTAGATTTCGAAGAAGATGATTTGTATGGCCAGTCTGTGGAGGATGATTATTGTATTTCACCATCAACAGGTAAGTTGTAAAACAAACAAACAAAAAACCAAAAAACTATTTCTTTGATTTGGCTGTTTAAAAGGATCAAGTAAGTATGATTTTCATCCTGGATTAGAGTCATAAGACTATAATACATAAGTTTTAAAAAGATATGAAGCTGGTCAGTGGTGGCACATACCTTGAATCCCAGCACTGGGAAGGCAGAGAAAGGTGGATCTTTGTGAGTTGGAGGCCAACCTGGTCTACAGAGTGAGTTCCAGACAGCCAGGACTACACAGAGAAAGCCTGTCACAAAACAAACCAAGATATGTGTATGTGTGTATTTATTTATATGCTCACATTTTAAAATGTAAAGTTTTTTATAATGGTCTATTTGAAAACAGAAAATAGACTTTATATATATATATATATATAGTTCAGGGTAGCCCTGAATTCTTGGTAATCCTCTAGCTTTGGCCATACTTAGATGAGTTTGTAAGTATGCCCCACCAAGTTCACCTGTAAAAGTTTCTTACTCATGAATAATTTTTTATGCGTTTTGTGTGTGTGTATGTGTGTGTGTGTGTGTGTGTGTGTGGTCTGTGTTTGTGTAGGTGCATGCTGTGTGCATACACAGAGAGTGTGGGAGCCTCAGGTATCTTGTGTCACTCTTCATGTTACTTCTTTGAGACAGTATCTCTCATAGGCTGGCCAGCAAGCCTCAGGAATCCTGCTATCTCTGCCACCCAAAGCACTGGGGTTACAGACATGTACATGGCCACACCTGGTTTTCATGGGTACTAGGGATTTGAACTCAGACCCTCATGCTTGTATAGTAAGAGCTCTTACCCACTTACCCATTTTAAACAAAAATGAATCAGTTTAAGGAAAACTTTGAAGACTTATTTTTCTAATAGTCTCTATATCATAGTTATATAAATTCATTAAAATGTCAGTTGATCATAGTGAATTCCTAAGATCTCTGAAGGTAGATAGTAGTAACTTTTGATCAGGGGTATTTAGAGTATTAGACTGACATTTGGGAACCATTTATTTAGGAAAAGAATAGTAGTGCTTAGTTATGGATTTGAGAGGCTAATAAAGTCAAGGTCTGCTAGGTGTGGTGGCACATGTCTTTAATCCCAGCACTTGAGTAAGAAGCAGGCTGATCTCTGAGTTGAAGCCAGCCTGTTTTCCAGACATTTACATGTATGGGCTTGCCTTACTTGATGCCTTGATCAGAGACTTCTGTGTGTCTCTCATGGCTTGATGTGTATCCTGCATTGTTCAGATTCTGGACACCCAAGCTGTGAGTTGTTTTTGTGTACAATAAGAAGTCTACTGACAGCACTGAACAGTAGGTAGTGAAATAGTTTTGCTTCTTTGATAAACTCACTTTTAACAAAAGCATGAGAATGTGAATTTTTTTTTGATTTTCTAGCACATTTACCGGGTGCAAAATGTAGCTTACTAGGCATGCATGTAGCTTAGTAGGCATGTGTGAGGCCCAACACCACCTTGTAGGAAGACAGCAATAACCAAAACACTCCACCACAAACAGTCCAGAAAGGAACGTGTGTGGCATAGCAGTAGCATTAGACCAGAACACACCCTAACCTCTGCTGGCTTGGATCGCAGCACGCACCACAGGCTAACCTGCAGTCTGGAATTTGTAAATGGACGTTTCCTGTCCCGACTGCCCAGTCCCAAATAACCGACTCAGAAGCTTACTATTACTTATAAATGCTTTGCCAGTAGCTCAGGCTTGTTATTGGCTAACTCATATACTTAAATTAACCCATATTTCTATTTATGCTTTGCCATGTGACTCATGACTTGTTACCTCATTTTTTTCACTTGCTGCTTGCTCGGCAGCAGCTGGCCTCTCCTCTGACTCCACCCTCTTTCTTCTCATCATTACCAGTTTGGCTTTCCCACCTAACTTCCTGCCCAGCTACGCCCTGTCAGCCTTTCATTACCCAATGAGAGTAATACATATTCATAGTGTAGAAAAGCATTGTCCCACAGCAGAGATTCCCTGTTTCAGAGTCTCAGAAGTTAGAATAGCAGGCCTGAGCACCATGTGCTGGGCCTAGATTATTTTTTACTGTGTGTTTTCAGGTAATTTCCAATGAGAAATGAGTAGTTTTAGAATAGATTCTGTTATTTACAGCAGCAGCCTGTGGCAGAGCTTTAGGCTTTGCTGCTCTGTGAAGCAGAACCACTCTTCATTACTGCCATCATGGTTGGTGTCTGCCCTAGTTTGCTCCCTTGTGGCTGTAAGAAAATACCAGGACATGAAGCAACTTGAGGAGGAAAGGGTTTATGCAGATAAACGCCCCACAGACATGCCCATGGGCCATCCTGGGTGCTAATTCCTCAGGTGGGACGATAGGGCATCTCAGTATCTGAATACCCTTTAGACGGTATGTCTCATTTAAGGAATTAATGAACAGATGATTGTTGAGTAGCTCAGGGAATAAAAATCAAACCACCTTCTGTTCATTCCAGAGGAGAGCATATTGTACTCATGGTCTGATAAAGCCTGTAATTGAGTTGCTTTGCCAATTAATACAAACTTCTAAACTTTAGTCACAAATACATGTATTTTGATTTCTGAGCATATTTTTCTTGATAAAAAGTGATTTTAAAATGTAACTCTTAAAAATTTCCTTTACAAAGATTTTTCATACTGATTGTTGAATGTATGTCAGGGCAGTAATAACAAAAGAACTAGGTAAAGCAATTTGAATAATGTATTTTGTTTCAATTAATGTGAGTTGAAAATATCCCTTTGATATATTTTAGTTCAAAACCAATACCCAGTATCAATTTGTGTGTAAGAAGAACACCCTTCCTCCTTCTCCGCTCTTTCTGGTCTTTTTACTGGAAAAGCAGTGGTGTGAGGTCCTGTTCAGACAGTTAACTGCTGTAGTCTGATGGGTGGAGAACATTCCTGAGCATGCTTGACAGGAGAGGTGAGTGGGCTGGGAAACTGGGGAGTATGTAGGTAGAGTGGTGGCTACTGAATGTTGTCTGTTCTGAGAGATTCAGAGTTCTTACAAGTTATAGCATGGAAAAAACCTGGGATGGGAAATAGGAACCAGAACAGAAAGTGGGAACCAGATTATGAAAGGCCTTTTTCATTTTATATCTGTTCCCTTTGACTGGAGGCATTTGTACAGGGATGGAGTTTCGCAGGTGACGGATAATGTACAGAGTAGACGAGCAGACTACGCTGGGACCTGTTGGAACTGGAGCATGCAGGACAGTTTCTTTTCTTTCTCTGTTTTTTATCTGTTATTTTGACTTTTTCAAGACAGAGTCTCACTATATTGCTCTGGGTGTCTTGGAATTCACTATGCGAACTAGACTGGCCTCAAACTCACAAAGATCTGCCTGCCTCTGCCTCCCAAGTGCTGGGATTAAAGATATGCCCCCCATGTCCCACAGGGCAGTGTTTCTCTTAAGCTTCCTTGCTGGTATGAAAGATAGAATAATTGTTAAATACAGTTTTCTTGCCTTTTTTCTGGGAGGATGCTGAGAGGCGTGCCTTTAATATGCACACAAATGTGTAGGAAATAGTTGTGGGCAGTTTCAGGACTTAGAATTGTAATTCCTTGGAATTTCATGTATGTCAAAATAGCCTGAACTTAAAAATTAACATGAATAACTTTCAAAAAATGCACTGAAGCTTAAGATTTAAAATTTCTTAAAAAAATTCTTACTTTTATTATATTCTCACCCTTGCTTTGATCTTTATTTGTACTAGTTACCTTTTGGGCTTTGATTTCAGCTTCAAAGTTTAGACTACCTTCTGCCCGCTGTGTCCTGCGCTTCCTGTCTCCTCCTGACCTCAGCCTCTATGGTTCCTTATTCTGTTGGCCTCTGTGGCAATCCCAATCACTAGCAAGGGCTTCAATGGCTATAGTAGTACGAGTTTGGAAATTGGAAGTTTTTGTTTGAGAAGGTGTAACAGTAAGGGATATATCCAGAAATAGAAGCTTCTAGCAGGTGGCATAGGAGCTTATAAGTAAGAACTTCTGCTTTGCTATGGAAATCTTTGGAATGAGGTTTGTTGAAGGAAGTGTTCGATTTCTCATCTCTGTCAGCACTGGACTGATTTCAATTTCTTGGGTCACAGTAGTTTGAGACATAGTTGGAGAAATTGCACAGTTAATGTTGGACTAAACAGAAAGTTTAGGAAAGTCTGGAAAACAATTTGTAAATCTCTAGGCAGAAAATGACACCATTTTTATTATAGTTGGTAGAGTAAATCTAAAATGTCACAGATTTTAAGGATTTAATTTAGATCACTAGAAATAAAAGACTATCAATCTAAGCATTACATGACGTTAAGGTGCTCTCTGGTTATAAGACTCTAACCTGAGATTTTAACAATGGAAAAGGTATTATAGAATGTGAAACAGGATGTTTCTTCAGTCTTTTATCTGTAATACTAATTTATCTCCTTGAATAAGTTGCAGAAGTGTACACATATATGTAAATCATATGTGTGCCTTTCTGAAATACTTTGTGGTATTCAAAAGTAAGAGTAAAAATAATTACAGGGAAAATAAGATTAGGACAGGTCATTCAACCTAAGAAACCTAACAAAACCAGTAACCATTTTAGTGAAAGTGCTGGCACGTCTAGAGGGATGTATTCCAGTGAATACAGGTGCAGGGCTATGGTTTACAAAGGCAGAAGCTCGGCTGAGCGAGGTATAAAGTAGTGGTGCAAAGGCAAATATTCACATTAAGCATCCGTGGGACAAGGCTGTGGCTGAGAGTGCGGGAGTTGGTCCAGTGTAGTTACAGGGCAGTAGAAATGAGGCTTCCCAGGAATGCTGACTTGTCAGAGTGGCCTTTTTAAAACTAAAACATCTTTCATGTGTCCCCTCTTCATGCCCTTATTTATCAGTTTTGATGACCTAATCTGAGGAAAGGAAACATGCAGTTTAGTTCTCAGTTTCTCTGCATGTGTTGAATTTTTCCCTTACTGAGTCTGTAGTTTTTTTACTATGTCCTTAACCTCCTTTATATTAATTTGTTTCTCTAATACTTGGTAACTGTGTTACAAATTTGGATTTTAAAGTGTGATGCTACAGTTGTTTTCTTACCTGCTAATCTATAGTTCATTGACTCGTGGCTGTCTGATTTCTGATTATAAATTTTTTATATGAGCTGTACTTTTATATTCTCCGCATTATCTATAAATTTTGGAGGTAGTTTCTCTTCCAACATCAGTACCTTCCTGGAGCCATGCTCAAGTCAAATGTAGGAATTCTGTGCAGTGGGCTTACTGTGCTCTTATGGAAAGTGAAATGATGGAATACCCATAGTGCCTTACTTTATTGTGCTGCGTATGTCAAGTCAGTTAACATACTGACTTCACTTTCTTGCAGTCAAACAGTCTTGAGGATGAAGCTCAGTGGTGTCCAGTTGAGGTGAATGTGCCCAGACTTTGGGCTTGCATGAATGACGGCTCAGTAGCACAGCCAGCGTGTTAGAGAAACGTGGGCCACTATCTGCAACCAGGGTTTGGGTTTTTTGTTTTGTTTATTTGGTTTTTCAAGACAGGGTTTCTCTGTGTAGCTCTGGCTGTCCTGGAACTCACTTTGTAGACCAGGCTGGCCTCGAACTCACAGAGATCCTGCCTCTGCCTCCCAAGTGCAAGTGCTGGGATTAAAGGTGTGCACCATTACTGCCAAAGTCAAAGTTTTAGATACCTGTCGCTGGTTTATGGTGGCGCTGTATGGTTGGAAAATGAGTTGTTGAAAACTTAGGGCCTATTGAGGACTGGAGAGATGATGACTCGGGTTAAGCACACACTTGCCGTTCCTGCAGAGGGCCACCCATAACCTCAATTCCAGAGGATCCAGTGCCCTCTCTGACCTGTGAGGGCACTTAGCATGCATGTGATATACAGACCTACACTGAAGCAAAATATTTACACATTACATAAATCTAGAAATCTAGGACATGGAAGACAACACATAAGCAGGCTGGGGCAGCAGATGCCACTACACTGAACAAATATAGAATGGAGAGATGGGGAAGATAGAGTACATGATGGATGGAGAGAAGGAAGAGAAAGAAAAGCGAGTGGTTCATGCACTGTGGAGAGAGGTAGAACTGGAGATGCAATGGTGGTGAGGAACAGGCCTATATGAGGAGCCATGCTGATGTCCCGGGGCTGTGGTGTCACTGTGTGCTGCCCCTGAGGGCCATATCTGGGTCTGAAGCCCTACTGTAGCCGGTGTCTGTGTTGATGTCCATGGCCTGTGTTACCATCAAAGGCCAAGTGGATGACCTTGGTCTGGGCTGCTGCCTGAAGCCACATCTGAGTGTGGTGCTTAGCTGGACATGCCCCTCCAGGACAGCTGGCCCCACTCCTTGCTGGCTGCCCAGGAGAGCAGGCCTGTACCTCTCGCCCTGGTAGTGTGGGTGTGGGAGAGCTCTGAGGGCATGAGTGTAGGAGAACTGGCCCTGCCTCTTGTTGGCCATGGAGTGGTGCCAGCACAGGATAGATGACCTTGCCCCTTGCAGGGCAGTGCTGGAGAGTCGGCCCCAATGGCACGAGTGCAGGAGGTCCAGTCCTGCCTTTGCCAGCTTCCACAGGCGGGAGAGTCACCTGTACCCCTCCCCTGGGAAAAGTGGGAGAGCTGGCCCTGGCAGCACGGGCACAGGAGAGCAGGTGGGATGACCAACTCAGCTACCACCCAGACCCAGATCCAGGGTTTTGAGTTGGTCCACTCCAACATCTACCCCATCCCTGAGTTGCCGGAGTCTGTGAGGGGCCAGTCCTGTGTAATCCAAACTGCAGGGTCTCCGTGACACAATGCAACAAGAGAGAGGATATTGGAGAGGCGTCCAGTGAGGATCTGGTATTGATAGTGTGGCAGAAACCTGAGGCCTGGAACCAGACCTGTGTCTCATTGCAATGAACATTTTTGGTCAAAGGATATATTTTTTTGTGACACACTGCAGTTTCCACAGTGAGATTGTTTGTTTTCTTTTTGGGGGGAGGTTTGAAGGGTGGTGGGCGGACATGGAGACGAGTGGGATTGGGTTGTATGATATGAAATTCACAAAGAGTCAATTAAAGAAAATAATTCTAAAAATGTATATTTTTAAATTTAGGACTTAACTTTTGGTAATCTTTTGGAATCTGGCAAAATTAATGTTTCTTGGATAGCAAAATTTAATGTCGACTTCACTATGCAAATACATTTTGAGTGTTTTCTTAAGCAAATAAGTACGTTTGATATGTGCTTTAAAATATCAGTGCCAAGAGAAAATAAAGGAGCATAATAGTGGGCAAGGATGAAATGAATGGAATGGTCTTGGAGACTCGGGGAAGGAAGGAAGAACGAGAGATTAGTGAGGTGCTAGTCCAAGGGCTTTGACTAGAACTTGGGTAGGATTTATATTGTCTTGGAATATTTATAATTTCATCACAGTACATACTGATGTTTTCCTCTATTTCTTTCTGCTTCAGTGGGATTTCTCAGTTTCAGTATCGAGAATCAAACCCAGGGCCTTATGCACACTAGGGAAGCTTTTACCAATGAACTATAGTCTCTTCTCCTTTATCTTAATTTGTGTTAAAAAATAAGAAAATGTTAGGAGCCGGCTATATTACAGCACTCTTCATTTTGTATTCTAGCTGCTCAGTTCATTTACTCACGACGTGACAACCCTGTAGAAGAATATGATTATGAAGATCTGAAAGAGTCTTCTAATTCTCTTTTAAATCACCAATTAAGTGAACTTGACCAAGGTATGGCTTTTTAAAAATAGGATATCTTCATTAGCTGAAAATGATTAATCAACAGGTAAAAATTTGTAAAGTTTATTGAGATTATTCATAGTAATGAATATGAACAGTAATGATACAAGCGTATCTGATTCTTTGAAGGAAAATTTGCGTCTTATTTAATGTGTCTATTGAGAAGTCTGTTAGATTGTATGACTGAGAATTTGATTTCATTAAGCCTATCAGCTGTTGAATAACTGGGATTTTTGACTGAGTTTTCTCGTTCTTTCATGTTTTACAAGGAAGAGAAATTCCAGTGATTTGTTTAAACAATTTTTAAAGAACTGTGGTCCGTGAGGTTTTAGAGAGCTGATGACTTAATGACAGGACCTTCTTTTATTTACAAGAAGGATAGCTTCCAAGAGGTTTAAGGAAGAAACCTCTGAAAAGCAGAGTAACCCAGAATAACAACTGCAGCTGTTGTGTCTGTGAGTGAAGTCAAGATGGAACCTGTGGGAGTAGCAGCATTGATTGTTTGCATATTTTTAACTCTTTTAAACATTTGAAAAGAATAGCTATGTTTCGGCTTCCTTTTACTAATACGTATCACATGTGACATTGCTTCAAGAATTTCTCAAACCATAGATTGATAGAGTAAGCTGGCCAGGTACGTGAGTAAGGCTGTCTGGAGAATGAGTGAGGCGGAGCTGGTCTGCTCTCCCTTGGCAGTTGTACTTTCCTATACATGGTTGTAATGTAAAGTTTATAACTGACTTGAAAACAGAAAGAAATGGTAGATCTGTAAGCTTATCTTTGAATATGTTAATAAAACAATTACTGGGGCTAGAGAGGAGGCTCAGTGGTTAAGAGCACTTGCTGCTCTTCTAGGAGACCTGGATTCAGTTCCCTGCATCCACATGGTGGTCCACAGAGCATCCATTACTCCAGTTCCATGGGATCAGATACTCACTTCTGACCTCTGGGGCAGCAGACTTGGGCGTCATGTAATACATACATGAAGAGCACTCCTTAGGGAATAAATATTTTTTAAATGCCGGGGGCTAACAAAATCAGGGTAAATAGAAGGAAGGCATAAATACATAAATCAGAAAGTAGGAGAAATTAAATTTTGTCAACTCTGTGGATTGACTTGGACATCTGGTGGATTGCAGAGGTAGTGCTGTACTCAGGAGTGTTAGCATAGTCATGAGGAATAAGAAGGCAGGAGTAGAGTAGAGGTCCTTTTTCTGCCACGTGTGCTTCTGTGGTCAGTGATTAAGTCCAAGTTATTTGAGAAAGGAGGCTAACTTTCCATCCTGACATGTAACTACTTACATAGCAGGGATAATTGTGACCCATGTTAACTGCTTAGCAGGCTCTCTATTAACGTACTGGGTCTGCTTGGCCTTATTGGTAAGTCTTATTTCATAGGAACACGAATAGGCTATGGATTAATTAGGTCAGCCTGACTGTAGTCTCCACTTTTCACCTCCTTAGTACTTTTCCTCTTTATGAATGTGTAGGGATAGATAGATGATTAATGATTAGACGTTCTGATACCTGTTCTGCTAAATATTGCCATCCAATTTCAGTGATTCATGTATTAGTTCAGTACATAACTCTTTCCTAGTAACAGGGAAAGCCTGTGTAAATCTTACAGAGAGCCAAAGCAGAATTGTCTTGGTATTTAAGGAATTTATTTTTGTAATTAGAAAGTGCAGTTAAGCATGCAGTATAGCTTTTACTAAGGAAAGTCTTGATAGTAGATGCCTTATCCTGTTCAACACAGAAACTTATGAGGTGCATGTGAGTTACATTCTGTGACAAGTCTGGCATACAGAGTTTCTGTGAGGATTGGATATTATCAGTATGAAATTGCCAAGTGCCATATACAGAAATGAGTATCTGTTGTGATTCGTTAGCCTCTAGGTACCTGGTCCCATTTTAGCTCTTAAGGATGTAAGACTGATTATGTTATACTGACTTTTTTTAATCATAGCTTAGTTATAAGAAAAATGAAAATCTTTAAGCAGTGCAATCCTAGGTTTAATTATGGTTTTAAAAATGAATGTTCCTTTCCTTCTTTGTTTCTTAGATTTGATTATTTTGGCCTTAAATTATTTTGATAATTTTAAAGGATAATATTTGTCGGTAATGGAGAGAGAGCTCATTTAGTTTGGAAAAAAATTAGCGGTTTGTGACATGTAAGAAATCTAGTTAGTGGTTGCCTGGGATCACCAACAAGTTTATAATAGTCTCACACAATCCTCTTCCCTGTCTAGGCATACAGGGAGTGATTGGGAGAAATTTCACCATGACTGTCTCAAAATGTTAGTGTGTCATTTCTATTTTTTTTAAAGATTTGTTATTTTTGATTATGTGTATATGTGTATGTCTGTGTGTTGGCATGTACGCATGAGTGAAGATGTCTGGAGACCTCAAAAGAGGGTGTTAGATTATCTGGAGTTGGAGTTACAGACTGATCTGATTGATCCAATGTCGGTGCTTGGGAACCAAATTTGGGTCCTCTGTAAGAATAGTACCTCTCTGCTCTGACCCTCCGAGCCATCTCTCCAGCTCCATCCATTTGTATTTTTTAAGCAGTTGGGAACATGTAACCTTATCCTGTACTGAGAATATGTATTGTATACAATTTATATGTATTTTTTCAAGTATTATTTAGAAACATTCATTTCTTCATTTATGAGATGTGAGAAGACAGTGCTTAGTAGATAAAATATAACCATTGTAAGTAATTTCTACTGAAGGAAAGGAGAGTTTGACTTGCTAGTATAACTTAAAATTCTCTGGTCAAATGTGAAGATCTTTGGAGACGCTGTATAGCACAGCTCTTTCTCTGCTCTGTGTTCTAGCTCGTCTGTACTCATGCCTTGATCACATGCGAGAGGTGCTGGGAGATGCTGCGCCCGATGACATACTGATTGAAGCGATTCTGAAAAACAAGTTTGATGTCCAGAAGGCTTTGTCAGTGGTTTTGGAACGAGACAATGTGCACAGTGTGAGGGAGAAGAGCGAAAGAGCAGTATCTGCAGGAAAGGCCTCAAAAGGTATGCTTTCACTTCGCGTAGCTCTTGTGTGATGCCTAGAGACCACTGTTCATGGTGCTGAGCAAAACGTTAATTTGCTTGAGTTGTTAGTTGGCTACTTGAGTAATCTCAGTTATTATCAGTTGGCTTTCTAGTTTGCAATTATGTAAAGGCATTTTTATTTTATGTATATGAGTGTTTTGCCTACATTTATATCTGTGCTCCACATGTATGAAGTGTCTTAGAAGGACAAAAGAAGGTGTTGGATCCCCTGAACTGGAGTTAAGGAATGTTGTGAGCCTCTGTGTGGGCGCTGGGAACCAAACCATGGTCCTCGGTAGGAGAAGATGGACAGTGCTCTTGACTATTGAGCCAGCGCTAGCCCCCAGTTTGGGGATTTTTAATTTGAGTTTTGTGTTCGCTTCCTGTGTATTTGCATAACCAACAGCACAAAGGAAATAAAATCAGATAAAATAAAACATTTTCCTTCTTGTTAGTTTCTTATTGAACTTTATAAAATCCTAATGAAATTTTTAATGATAAAAATTCCTCTGTACTTAGGTCATAGATAATTATGATTTCATGTTATTTGAGTATCATTAAATAATACAAAGTACTAAAATTGTACTCTTCATATTTCATTTTTAGCTAATGCATAAGAAAACAAGAATAGATTTTTAATTTTAAATTTGTAGGTTTGGGGTTTAGAATTTTGTGGACATGAGAACTGAGGTAAAGTTGTATTAATTGGCGTGATTCTGTTAGTGGGAGTGTGGTCATTTGTTAACTGGAGTGATATGTCCTTTAATCTTTGGGTTAGACCTCTGCAAAAGTGCACGCAGCCTACCCCTGTGAAATCAGTATGTTTCTGTTGGGGCTCAGGTGTACTTTTTTTTTTTTTTAAATAGGTTTTTCAAGACAGGGTTTCTTTGTAGCTTTTGGTGTCTGTCTTGGAACTAGCTCTGCTAGACCAGGTTGTCCTCGAACTCATAAAGATCCACCTGCCTCTGCCTCCCGAGTGCTGGGATTAAAGGCGTGCACCACTACCACCCGGTTCAGGTGTACTTTTAATTGATTGTAATGATAATGTCTTCTCTATTAATAAAGTGTCCCTAGAACACAGGAAATCACAGGTGGTGTTTGCTTGTTGTTTTTAATGTATTAAAATACAGAGAAAAATGAACCCAGTTTTTTATTTTTTAAAAGAAGTTTTAAAAATTTAAAAAGTTTTAAAATGGTAATCATGGCAATTTCACTGTGATAGAGCTTCACATTCATAAAATCTATGATTCCATGATAAATCCATGAAAATTAGAATGTTTGCTCACATATGGCAGTGAAAATAGTGTGAAGGTCATCTTAGGTTGTTAGAGGTAATATTCCTCTTTTGTTTTCCTCATGGTCCCTGTTGCTAAATAATGAACATGTATCGCTTTAGTTGTAATCAAAGGAAGCACCTAGTAATTAAATGCCTTATTTTATGTCTCTTTTTGTTGCTGTGACTGTCTTCTGCAAATGTCAACTTGCTCATCTGAACATTAATGGCTCTTGTAAGGTAAGGAGTCTTATTTTCTTCTAATGAAGTTTCAGTTGAAAATGTTCAAAATTCTTGCCCTCAATCAGAAAATCATTTGGATAGCAGTAGCAAATCTTTTGATTATTCTAGTGCAATAGCAAAATATGGATCACATAATTCTTCACTTGTGCCAAGTCACTATTTACTTCATAGAAAAAAGAAACTTGACAGACCCCAAAGTGAAAAGGAACTAGAATCATGTAAGTTAACAAAGGAGCTGTCCCTGACACCCCTGACTGATGATGTGCCAAGAGATCCTTGTACACGTCAGCCGTCAGTCAGTCTGTCCCCCACAGTCAGTCTGCAGAGTGGGCCTTGTAAGACTCCAGATGGTCCTGCATCTGAGTGTGCTCCCGAGGAGGATTTCACTTTCAAAGGAATACCAGACTTAAAGTCCTTAATGAGAGGGAACATAGCAGCCAGTGGTTCTCTGGGTGTTCAAAGCAGTGTGCTACCTGATTTTCAAAGCATGCCACTGCAGACCATCTTGGGAAGTTTAAATAACCCGTTGCACTTACCTGTCTCATTGGAAAATAATTTTAATCCCAGTATAAACACCGAAGCTGGACAAAGTGCCAAGAATAATATTGTAAAGAATAACAGTTTACCATTTTCCCAGTGTGAAAGTCTATCCCTAGCTGAGCTGGTTGAGGAACACAGAGAAAACAGTCCCAGCCAGTGCTTTACTTTATCCGACCTGTGTAACCAGTCACCTGCTAGCTTGGGGTCCCTTCCCCTGTCACAACTGGCAACCCGCTCTCCGTCTTCTAATGAAGTATCAGAGTTAACAGGATCTCTGTCATCGTTGGCGTTTTCCAAAACTTCTCCCACAAGAGACCTGGAGAATTTGTCCCTTTCTGATTTGATTGCAAAAACGATTGAACTAGACAACTCTCCGATTAAGAGAGATTCCTTTGAGCTCAGTTTATCTGAATTGAGGAATCCTGGAATTGATTCAAATATTGATCTTAGTGTCCTGATAAAAACTCCAGAGTTTGTTTCAAAGCCTGTAGTTGACCCATCAGTTGCTCCAACAGCAGACACTAAAGTTCTAACTTCAAAGTTAGGGAAAAATTCCAGTTCTACTAAGGATAGTAAGAAAAGTAAAAGACGTTCCCCTGCTAAGAAAGCACCGTTGTCTCTGGCGTGGACCAAGGCTCTTGCTGCTAGGCCTTCAGCTTTTGCTTCAACGCTGTGTCTTCGTTACCCGCTGAAGAGCTGCAAGAGGCGCACTCTTGACCTCTACAAGACTTTCCTTTATAGCAGACAAGTTCAAGATGTATCGGACAAAGAAATGAGTCCTCTTGTAGCAATAACACCATTTGACTTCAAATCAGCATCCCCGGATGACATTGTAAAGGCCAATCAGAAGAAAGCATTTACTAGAGAATAGTAATGAGAGGAAAACTCAGTTACTGTTGCAAGCTTTTTAATCTTAATGTAAAGTCTCTGTAGGATCATTTTCGATTATGGGATCAAATTGTGATTTTTATTAAAATTGTCTTAAGTCCATTTTAACAACTTAAGTTGGTAAGGATTTTTGCACTGAGAGTTTTTTGGTTTTTGTTTTTAACAATGTCTTTTTGGAGTAATGAATGACTGGTTTCATTTGAATGCTAGCTCATAGAGTATGTTTACAATGTGCGTATGGAAACATTGTGAATTGCACCTCAGATGTTTCATTTGACATACAACTTTCTTAAGTTTTATGGGGAGATATTTTTTTTCTATGAACTATTTTGTGTGTTTTTTTTTCGTAAATCAATGCAACTACTTGGGCTTATAGTATGAAATTTGTTTTTAGGGTGCATAGCATAGTTGAGATATGCTTATATTTTCAAGTATTATTGGCATCATTCGTAGTTTTATTATTTTTCTTAGGTGACTACTAAAACTTTCCTATTAGAAACTTTTGAAATTCTGGATTTTTGAAAGTACTATGAATTATGGTTGAGGTGCATTTTTAATGATAAGATGAAAATCTTTTAAGGGACCATGTATATATTGCAGCTGAACTAATACATAAATTATTTTTATACATTATATATTTTATAGATTTGGAAGGCATCTTCTTTAAAATAAACATATAGAAAGTGTTTGGAAGTATGTGCGCATGTTATTTTAATAGGTTTTTGCCAGATTTCTTTAATAGTTTCTTTGTAGTAAATGAGATATAGACCTTTCCTTTTTGCTCCTGATGACTATGCCTGGCAGTGGCCCATCAGAGGTGGCAGATCCCATGAGAGTGCTTGTAGTCAGTAGGAGAAGAATATGTCTTCAGTAGAGCTGGTCCTAGAATTTGGGACTCACCTGGAGAAGATTTTCTAAATACAGCCACTGTTACTGCTTTTCAGATGTCTGAGTTGGTTTCTGAGGATCCTCTGGGAATGTGGTTCTAGATGGTCTCCAGGTGGTACTTATGTCTGCTTTCCCTGGAGAATTGTATAGTAAAATTTTAATGCCAAATATATCTGACCAACTTAACTTCTAATAATCAGGAATATCAAGGAAAATTACTTATCAGGGATAATGACCTTTTGCCTAGAATGAATAAAAAATAGTGTTTATATTTCTTGCATAAAGCTATTTCTTAGTGAACATTGAGTAGCTGCCATCTAAGTAGGAATATTTTTTTTTTCTGGAAGCTACTTCACTATTCCTTGATTTCTTTCTTTCTTCCTTCCTTCCTTCCTTCCTTCCTTTCTTTTTTTTTGTGTGTGTATATTCAGTTTTTCCAGTAGTTTTAGCTGTACATAATACTGTCATATCCAGTATTCTTCTGAGCCACAGCACGAGTCCCACATAAAATTTGTAACTGAGTATTTCATTGTTTATAATGTCTAGGAGATTGTAAAATCCAGAACATGCATTTTAGGATTAGCATTAACATTTGGGTTACCCCCAGCTACTCTTGGGTTGTCTAGTCTTTCACTTCCATCAGTTCGGTAGCTGACTTCTGTATGTGACTTACCAATTAGAGTTATGTATAGGCATTGTCCCGTTTAGAGTGGAATTGTATTCTGAGAGTTTGTGACGCATCATTACTCTGGATAGAGTAAGCCCTATGCAAGTGGTTCTCTTTGCACATAAAGCCACAAATTCTCACTTAATCCACACTGAAGAGTGTGATAGTATTATTTTACTTTTTAATGACAGTAATTTTCAAGAAGAAAAACAATACTTTGAGAACTGTACTGTTTTAAGTGAACCATGTGTTCCTTTGTTGGCTGATTAGGATTGAAACTACCACTTGTCTTGGCTACTGTGCTTAGCCAAGACAAGGCCTCTTGACACTTGACAAGGCCTCGCCCTTTTGGCTGTGGGAATGTCACAGTTTCTGAGACTCAGAGTGTGAAGCCAAGAAACCTCTTTGCTGCTTCCACTTGTTGCCATGGTCCTTGGCAAAGAGGTGTGCTCATTGATAAATAAACCGTTGTTAGAGTGTTTACACTAAATATATACTGGCTGCTGCTCATTGACCAATTGCTGTCTTCGTAGCTCAGGGATGTTGAGTGTGTAAGGCTTACTTTATTTTCTCTTTCAGATGTTCATGGTGACAAACAAAGCCATTTTTTTTTGTTTTATGATCACATGTCTCTATTTACATAGGAATACAATAAAATTAGTCCTAAATGATGTGAAAAATGTTCAAAAATTTTGCTTTTTGTTCTTTTTGTTCTACTGTGTCCATGAGTATTTTGTCCTGTCTTTGTAAAGGACAGAATTCTTAAAATCGATTGTCTAGAACCAGGAATTCATTCAGTACAGAACACTTAGCTTTTCCTTTTTTTCCATTTGTGTTCTCACCTATTTACCCTCTTGGCTTTCAATCTTAATTTCTTGCAGTATCTGGGCCATCCTGCATCTAGTTGTCACCCCAGTGATAGTGTCAGGAAGGTGCTTTGGCTATAAAGGAAGCACTAAAGATAATACAGTGCAGAGAAGAAGAACAAGTTTGTAAATGGCTGCTATTTTTTAGATTGGCCTTGAACCTATATTTGGATTATTAAATTTTGGAAAAAATGATGTATCATCAATTTTCTTTTTTAGGTCCACAAATATATATATATACACAATATATATATTATTTGTTGATAAAATTTATTTATAATAAATACATAAATATTTGTTTATAAAATGAGTTATGTAGTAGCTTAGAAATTGTTTTCTGTTATTTTAGTAATGGAATGTGTGTAAACAAAGATAATGTTGACTAGAAAGGGAAGAATTAATAGATAATTCTATTACGTTTGTACCTATAATTATATAAAACTTGGTAATTGTGTAAGTGATTTTCAGGCTGTTGGAAATATGTCACATTCTGAGTGTATATGTACATTTTTATAAAAGCTATGTTGAAAGAAATTACAGTTCTGAGGGTTTCTTAAGTTAGGTACTTACCCCTGAGAAGTTTCTATAGAAATTTGATACTTCAGAATGGTATTTTGTAATTAATATGGAAAGTACTACTGTTTCATGTCTATAAATGAACTAAAAACAGTCCATCTTGGTGTGAAGAGTTTCTTCTAATATTTTCATCATTTGTAGTTCTTGTTTTCTGTAGGATGTGTGTGCGTGCATGCATGTATTTGTGTGTTGTTTGTTATTTTATGAGTCATATAGAAACATAATTAGCCGTACAGGTTAGGAGTTAGGGTGAATATTGATTTCAGAGGTTATGGTGGAAGGAGGAAGAATTGAATACATATTTCCTGCCTTGTCATGCTTGGGTTGTATTGTGCTATTTAAAGCAGAACATTTTAGGTGCAGGCGACATGCCAAGGTAAGAGTGTGAGGATTCTTACTTCAAAGAGGTGGGTAGATGTAGACATGTATTTATAGCAAGTTGTAGCACATGTAATCCTGAAACTTTCTTTTCCGCATCTGAACTGCTGCTTCCTTGCTTTTTTCCTGTCTTATCAGTCCCACCCTCTGTCTCTCAGATCAGAAACCTAGCATCATCTTTGATTCCTCTCTCCCTGACCTGCTACTTTAACTGATTGCCACACTTAATATCTAATGTATGAGGAAGCATTTATGTATGCATATATGCATGCAGATAGTATCAGTTCTTATGTAGGGTAATCATTTCACTGAGTGATGGCAAATACTGAATTAGGATATACTGAGACATTCTTTCTATATGGTTGATAAGCCACTGGTTCCATGTCCATCAGCCACTCAGCATATAACTTTGTTTTACACGTGCCTCTATTAAAGATACATTATTTAGTATGTATTACTGTATCTCATTAATACATTGACATTGAGCTCACAGAGATTCATAATGTACTACTTCATCTAACATTCACTTTGTATTCATAAAGTATCTCATAGTTTTCTTATGCCTTGGGGTTTTAGGCATATCAGTATTCTCCCAAGAAGGCAAAAATAAAAAACCATGATAGCAAATGAACCCTGAAAAGCACATGCTTACAGTACTAGAGCTGAAACAAGAGAATAGTGTTGCTGTGTTTGCCCTCACCGAGGAACTTATCTGTTCATGGCTCTAATTGTTCAGTGTTCCATGCAGGTCTGAAAGTGATGTCCGCAGTGCCCTGAGTCGTGATTTGGGGTTGCAGATTTATGGTAGTGAAAATTTGAATACCCAGATCTGGGATCCATGAATCAAGGGAGTCTGATTCACTATTCCCCATCTTTAGTGAGTTCTTTCAAGACGTCTAGCTTTTGAAGAACTACAGCAACATCTAAGTAGTTTCTTGATTAAGTGCATTTTCTCTTAAAGTATTTCATATACTAGACCCAAAGTAAATTTTCTGAAGTGTTCATGTATTTTTCTTTTTTTTCTGCCTAATTTTTCTGCTTTTCTTTCTTAAGCCCTTCTTCTAACTGATATGTTTAATGTTACACTGTGCAGTCTATGGGCACACCTCCTTGAGCCTCTTCTCCCTTCCTTCTCCTCTTGTACCTGACTATGTTCTCTTCAGACCAGAGTTCATATAGAGTTTTATAATATCCTGGGTTATGCTGTCTTTGTATGCATCTGTACCACACTGTATTCTTTTATTTTCACCCCATACGAAATTGTTATCACACCTGCAGATATGTACTTTTTCTATTGCCTTTCCATATTTTTAAGTTATTTGTATTCTTTTTAAAGCTGTTATTTCTTATTTTTTGTCTACTTTTTTTCTGCTTTAACGTTAGTAAATTTTAGGGATATGTGTGTGTATGTGTATATGTATCTATAAACACACACACACACACACACACACAGGCTACATAGATTAGTCCTTATAATAATTGTTACTTCTGATTCCTATTTTGCCATGTGTTAAATTTTGGCTTTGTTTAGATAGTTTTATTCTGTTGTCCATGTTGGCCTAGATTCACTGTGTAGCCCATGCTGGCTCTAGCTCATAACCATTCCCGCCTCAGCCTCCCATGTGCTGGGATAACAAGGTGTGTACCTTTACTTTCAGCTCTTAGGGTATATCTTAGAAGATAAACTTTTTTCAGTTTTTAAATCAAATTTGTTTTTTTTCCTTTCGTTTGAAAGTTCTGATTTGTTATATTAATTAATATAGAGTAATTCAGTATTTTAATACCTTTAACAGATTCTTTTATTTTTAACTTCTGTGTCTTTGATTCAGTGACATTGAGGGCTAACAAAATAAATTTGGTTTCCCTACCAGCATCTTTCCTCTTTATAGAGAGGTAGGTTTCTTATTATACCTGTTGTGACATATACTAAATTGTTCTCTATCTTGGGGCTCTACTAATACATTTTTAGGTCCTGTAGCTTTGAATTTCTGTTCAGTTTTTTGTCGACTGACTGACTTTCTTTCCTTTCTCTCCTCCCCTCCCTTCTCCTCTTCTCCCCTCCCCTCCCTCTCTTCTTTCTTTTCCTCCCTTTCTCCCTGCTGTAGCTTTGAATTTCTGTTCAGTTTTTTGTAGACTGACTGACTTTATTTCCTTTCTCTCCTCCCCTCTCTCCCTCTTTTCTTTCCCTCCCTCCCTCCCTTCCTCCCTCCCTCCCTCCCTCCCTCCCTCCCTCCCTCCCTTCCTCCCTCCCTCCCTCCCTTGTTTTCTGAGACAAGGTTTCTCTATATAACCTTCCTGGCTGTTCAGGAACTCACTCTATAGACCAGGATGGCTTCAAACGTAAAGAGATCCACCTGCTTCTGCCTCCCAAGTGCTGGTATTAAAGGTGTGCGCCACTACCGCCTGGCAATAGTTTTTTCTGTGTTATCTTTCAAATAGCTTTCTTCCCCTGTTTAAGTTTTAGAGAAAGGTTATTTAATGATTACAAAATGCCCTTGGAGACAAGAAACACTGTCAAAATGGATACAGATGGCTTTAGGTAACATTAAGTATTACATTATTAGTGTTCTAATAGATCTTCTAATATCAAGTCTAGTCTGACAATGCAGCACATTGACTATTCTCTAATGCGCTAGTTTCTTTTTGCTATCATTTTATTTAAGATGATATCCATTCATAAAATTAGTTTATAGTTGTTGGTTTATAACTTGCTGTGTAGCTGAGGATGGCTCTCTCAAACTTAGTTCCTCCTGCCTCAACCTTCTCAGTGGTGGAATTACAGGTCTCTATCACTATACCCAGTCCTCAGTTATTTTTTAAATGGATTGACGTCTTAATATTAGACCCTCTTTGTCTTTTTACATTGAATCCTTTTTCTTATCTTTCTTTCATAATACTGAAAAATGTTTTTTGAGTTAGTAGTACATGATCATGATTTTATGGCTTATATTTTTCATGACAAGTCGGAGATGGAGCCCCCTTGTTTGCCTGGAATACCTCCCAGGTGTTATATTCTTGTGTGTTTTTAGTGAATTAGTTACTGTTTTTGTTGCTGTGATGAACCTACTAAGCAGCTTAAGCGAGGATTTAGTTTCATGGTTTGTGGGTTAAATCCACAAGGCTAGCAGCAAATGTTATAAACCCTGTTTCTGTCCTCTTATGACCCACTTTCAGTGAGGCTCCATCTCTGAGAAGTTCCAAAACCTTCCAAAGCACTGCCATCAGCTGGAGACCTGTTCTTTAAATGGACAGATCACAGTTGCACAACTAGTCTGAGTCTGTTGTGGCTCTTATTTCTGTAGCAGTGTTCTACCCTTCCTCTCTTCCCCTGAGCTTTCTTTCGGATCATCTTCCTCCATCTCTTTGATTTTATTTTCTTCTGTATGTTTGAGTCCTTGGCTGTACTGTATGTGTGGGTGCCTGGGGCCTGCTGAGAGCAGAAGGCATCAGAACCCCTGGAATGAGGTGCAGGTGGTTGTCTGGCCCCACCGGATGCTGGGAAGCAGATCCTGTGGAGGATGAGGAGTGCCCAGTAACTGTTGCTCCAGCCTCCTTTCTAACTCTTCTTAGCCACAGTATTTTTACTATATTACATATGGTAGACTATTCTTCTCTCATTCATGTTCTGTATTCATCTGCTTTTAAGTTGTTTTTTATTTTTCTTAGAGTATCTTCCTATAACCTCTGTCTTGGCATGTTTGAATATTTTTTATTTGAAAGAGGGGGTTCTGCTTATTTATTTTAGCTTTAAAGTATATTTATTTCATATTTTAAATGATACGTGTTATGGGGTTGCATGTGCATATGGATGCAGGTGCACATGGAGACAGGAAGATGGTGTCAGATTCCTCTGGAGCTAAAGTTAAAGTGGTTTATTCAACATGTGCTCAGAATAGAACTTGAGTTCATGCAGGAGCAGGACACACTCTTAGCTGCTAGCATCTGTCCAGCCACTGGAATTTCACTTTTCAACAACACCATTGAAGAAGAGTGGAGAGTGTGTAGGGCTGAACTGGGGCCACTTTGTGTTCTTGACCTTGCTATATTCTGTTCTTGACTCATATGTAGTACAGCTTTGTAAATATTTCATTTCTTTCTTGGAGGCAGAGCATAAAACTTCTACCTTTTTTTTTTTCTTGGTTCTTCAAGACAGGGTTTCTCTGTAGCTTTGGAGCTTGTCTTGGAACTAGCTTTTGTAGACCAGGCTGGCCTGGAACTCAGAGAGATCCACCTGCCTCTGCCTCCCGGGTGCTGGGATTAAAAGAGTGCACTACCACCACCACCTGACTCACCTTTTATCTTTTATAGTAATAAGTGTAATTTCTAAAATAGTATGCTAAATGCTAACATCTTTCTTAATTTTGATAATTGTGTTAACATGTATATAAATCATACTGGTAGCAAATACACATTGCCTAAGAATGGGTTCTCAATACAGTTCTGCTACCATTCATATGAGTGAGCTGTTAAGAGCATGTGGGAGAAGGCATTAAATCATGGGGTAATCTTTTCTGATTTATTTTCCTCCTCTCATTTGTGCTGGCGCACACCCTTAATCCCAGCACTCTGGAGGCACAGTAAGACAGATCTCTCTGAATTCTCAGCCAACCTGGTCTACATAGTGAGATTGAGGGATAACTAGGCCTATGTAGAGAGGCCTTACCTCAAAATAAGTAAATAAATACCGTGTTTTGGTAGTAGCTCTGTTTATTAGCAGA